ATTAAAATATATCCACTAGAAACATCATAGTATCATAGTTGATCTAAAGAAAGAAAGAAAGAAAGAAAGAAAGAAAGGAAGGAAGGAAGGAAGGAAGGAAGGAAGGAAGGAAGGAAGGAAGGAAGGAAAAATGAAAAAATGGTGACCAGAGGAAGAGGAATAGGGGGTTTCTGGAGTGATTTTTTTTTTATGTTATTTGTTTTGTGTATGTGCATGTATGAGTACGTATGTGGAGGTCAGAGGACAACTTGCAGTAATCAGTTCTCTTCTTCTACCATGTGGATTCCAGGGATGAAACTCAGGTCATCCAAGGTCAGGCAAGTGCCCTTACTTGCTAAGCCATTTCTCCTCACTGGCCCCAAAGGAATTATTTTGGAGGTGGGAGGAGGTGTCACTATGTAACACTGGCTGGCCTGGAACTCTCTATGTAGACCAGACTGGCCTAAAACTCACAGAGATCCTCCTGCCTCTGCCTCCTGAGTGCTGGGATTAAAGGTATGTATCATCCTGCCCAGCAAAGGAATAAATTCTTCTACAGTACCTACTCAAATCCTTGGGAGTTATTTTCAATCAGTCAATCAATTAATCAATCAAAGAAAACTGGGAAAAAGCCAGGTGTGATTGTGTATGCCTTTAGTCCCAGCATTCAGAAGGCAGAAGCAGGCAGATCTCTGTGAGTTTGAGGTCAACTGGTCTACATATCAAGTTCTAGGCCAGCAAGGGTTACATAGTGAGACCTTCTCTCAAGGAAAAAAACAAAAAACAAAAAACTGGGGCTAGAGAGATGGCTCAGTGGTTAAGAGCACTGGCTGTTCTTACAGAGGACTGGGATTCCATTTCGGCATCCACACTGAGGCTAACAACTGTCTGTAACTCCAGTTCCAGGGGAATCCGACACCTTCTTCTGACCTTCGTGGACACTGCACAACATGGGTGCACATACACACATGTAGGCAATACACTCATACACATAAAAAAAGGGAAAATTTCTACATTAGGAAATATACTTTAAAATAACTCACAGATTATAATATGTTACAGACAGGAAAATATTGGACACATAATAATAATATGAAATAAAGAGATTGGGGCTGAAGAGATGGCTCAGCAATTAAGAACACTGGTTGTTCTTGCAGAAGACCCGGGTTCAAATCCCAGCACCCCCACATCAGAATTTCTGGCACAAAGCTTGGCATGGTGGTGCACACCTTTAGTTCCAGAATTCAGGAGGCAAATGCAGGAGAATCTCTGTGAGATCAAAGCTAGCCTGGTCTACATGGTGAGTTCTAGGTCAGTTGGAGATACAGGGAGACCCTGTCTCAAAAAGAGAAAAAAAAATTTTTGGCATATCAATTTATTTGTAGAGAGAAATGAATAGCCTTATGAATGTATAGGGCAGGGTGAAGGTGGGAAATTTAAAAAGCAAGTATCTACCTACATCAATAAGATAGGAAAGGATCTTCAAAATAAGCCCATCCAGAATAAGAATGTTTTAGGGGTTTTTTTTGCCTTTTAAAAAAATTTTTACTTATTTTTATTTTATGTATATGCATGTATTCCTTGCATGTAGGTAAGTGCACCCGTGTCATGCAATGCCCACGGAGGACAGAAGAGGCCGTCAGAGCCCCTAGAACTGGAGTTATGGACAGTTGTTAGCTGCCATGTGGGTGCTGGGATTCGAACCCAGGTCTTCTGCAAGAACAACCAGTGTTCTTAACCACTGAGCCATTTCGAGCCCAACTTTTTTGCCTTTTTGAGACAGGGTCTCTCTATAGCCCCAGATGGCCTGGACTCACACTATGTAGACGAGGGTGGCCTCGAATTCAGAGATCCACCTGCCTCTGCCTCCCCAGTGCTGGAATTTATGTGTCACCACACCAAATGAAATGAATTTTTAAATTAATGAAATATAAAGCAAATATACAATAGAGATCAACAAAGGTAGGTGTTGTTTGGTTCCTTCTAAGATAGATGGGAGAGGGGGAGGGATGATAAGAAGGAAGGAGAAGAGAGAGGGAGGGAGAATAGGACAGGAATTTCAGAGAACAAGCCTGAGCCCCTGGGCCCTGGAAACTTGAGATTGCAGGAGGGTTCCCTTCATTTGCTGAAGTGATAAGGGGCTCACTATGCAAACAGTATTGTTTGTACTGGATACCTGCTTTATTCTGGGATTTTGGAATTTTGGTAGGTTCTAGGCAAAGAATGCCTACAAGATCAGCCCTAATAAAACCCCTGGGTACTGAATTTCTAATGAATTTCCTATGTAGACAATAGTTCATGTTGTCACAGATAATTGCTGCAGGAAATCAGCATACCCTGTGTAACTCTAGTGGAAGAGGGATTCCTCTGGGTTTCAGCCCTGTAGTTTCACCCTGTGCTGGTTTTGCTTTATACACTTTCACTGTAATAAACCACAGCTATAAGTACAACTATATACTGAGGACCAAATCCTGTTATGTAATCATCAAATCTGGAATAGTCTTTGGAACCCTCCAACACAGATGATAGCTACATGACTGAAAGATCTGATAGACAGATGGAGAGAAAAGGAATACTTGCTAAAAATCATTTCAAGGGCTAGGTGTATGCCTTTAATCCCAGCACTTGGGAGGCAGAGGCAGGCGCGTCACTGCGAGTTTGAGGCCGGCCTGGTCAGTTGGGGCTACAGAGAGACCCTGTCTCAAAAAATACAAAAAAAAATATTTCACATTCACGAGATAAATGTATAATGATTTGTTTCTTCTTCTTGTAAAAAAAAAAAAAGAAAAAAATCCTTAAAAATTTTAATAACCAAGCTGGGTGTGGTATGCACCTTTAATCCCAGCCCTGGGGAGGCAGAGGCAGGGGGATCTCTGTGAGACTGAGGCCAACCTGGTCTACATAGTGACTTTCACATGGGCAGGGACTAGGGAGACCCTGTCAAAACAACAACAAAAAATTTATGAACATGGGGCTGGAGAGATGGCTCAGCGGTTAAGAACACTGGTTGTTCTTGCAGAAGACCAAGGTTTGAATCCTAGCACCCACATGGCAGCTAACAACTGTCCATAACTCCAGTTCCAGGGGCTCCGATGGCCTCTTCTGTCCTCCGTGGGCACTGCATGACACAGATGCACTTACATACATGCAGGCAATACACGCATACAGATAATATAAAATATTATATTTAAAAAGAGAGAGAGAGGGAAAGATGTGGAGAGGGGGAAAGGAATTGG